GGACCACGCCCAGGGACCTGGGCAGGAGGTCAGCCAGGCTCACAGGGTAAACCCCAGGGCATCTCGCAGGAGCCCCTGATGGCAGGATGAGGCTCACACAGACACAGGTGCCCACAGCTCCCTGGGTGTTGGAAATGGGCACTGGGCTCAGCACAGTGTGAGCTTGTGGAAAGAACACTCCTCTGGGGCCTGAAGACCTGGGTTTCAGCACTGGTTGTCCACTCACTATCCGTGTGCCCAGGTTTCTTGACACCTCACAAGCAGTTCATGTGAAATGGGGCCAAGTCCTGGTCTCCTTCCCAAGGGACTCCAAGGGCCAGCGTGAGGATGAAGCCCTCCTCGGCCACTGCTGGTGGTGGTTACCTCTGGTGAAGCGCGTCATGGAAGACTGCCACGTTTCTGGAATGCCTATTTGTTACCAGCACATAATTCTTTTGAAATCTGTAGAAGTGCTTTTTTTGTGTGTGAGGAAGATTGTCCCTGAGCTAACATCTATGCCAATCTTCTCTTTTGTATGTGGGACACTGCCACAGCATGGCTTGATAAGCGGAGTGTAGGTCTGCACCCAGGATCCGAACCTGCGAACCCCAGGCCGCCGAAGCAGAGCACACAAACTTAACCACTATGCCACCGGGCCGGCCCCTAGAAGTGCATTTTTAAAAAGCTTTGTTGCACACTTTTAAAGGCACATTAGTGGCCTGCAGCAGGCACTTGACTCACTGTTTACAGAAGTGGAGAGAACAGAATCTAGGCTGAAGCTTCTCAGAGGGAGCTGCTTGCTCTACGCTGATTTAGCTGGTAGTGGTCGCGGGAAGGGAAGCTGAGAGACCTGAAAGCCAAACCCCACTGGCTGTCCAGCAGCACTTCTCCAGGTTAATCGTCAACAACGGGGCAGCCAGGAGGGTAGAGTTTTTCTCTCAGGGAGCCCAAGTCTGTTCCTGCCACCCCCTGCCACTTGACACCAGGTCCTAGGAGCCAAGTTTGAGCCCTAAAGAGCTCTCAGGAACCCAGGTCCACAGCAGTGCCCAGCCCTTTTTCAAAAATAAACACCCTTCATTACATACACACACACACACACCCCCACACAGAGCGAGAGGAGAAACAGTCCTGTCTTTTACTTTCTAACATTAAATCCCTAGTCAGGGTAACTCTTCAATTCCAAGAAGTTCCGGGTGTGCAATCCCACAATGTGAGGCCATGGAGAGCAGAGTTGGCCAAAGGTGGATTGTCTTGGGCTCATCCAGCATCTGAGTCCCTGAGAAGCCTGTGGGCTCCTCATAAGCAAGGCTGCTCAGTCTGTCAGGTGGCTCCAGGGCTTCTGCAGGTCCAAGGATTGTGAGCCAGACAAATCCTTTGCCCTGGTTCTAGGTGAGGAGCAGGAAGCACCAGGATCCAGCATCACAGAAACTCATTTCCCGGGGTAGAGAGGCCCCTTTCAGAGATGGTGACAGAATTTAAGGTAAGAGTTCTGGGGCTCTGTGCCCACAACTTTCTTTTCCAGGACAATATGCCTCAGAAATGTATGGTTCCCCTTCTCTGGAAAGGGGAAATGGCTCAGGCAGGTGGCAGAGAGCCACCTGCCCCTCAGGAAGCAGCTGGACTGAGGCTGAGGTAAGAGTGATGCTGGGTGAGATCACTGGTGGGTGAGGGACCCAAACCCCACTGAATGCACTGAGGCTCCTCGTGGAGCCTTGTGTGAGATCAACAGAAGGACTGTTCAGATGACCCACAGATCTCTGAATTCTCCTTTCAGCTGGAAAATGGGTGCTCCAAACTCCCAAAGCTCTTTGGGTCCAAAAACTCGTAACTTCTGATCTTGAAACCTTGGTGTTTCTTGGGTTGATGTCTCAGGAGACTATCTCCTGTGATAAAGTATTGTTTCAGAGCCCAGATGGAGTTCTGAGTCACAAAGTGTCCGAGTCAGAACCTTCTAGTTTAGGGACCTCGTTCTGCAGGTGAACCCCGGGCTCACAGAGGTCAAGGCGCACAACTAGTTAATGTTAGAGACGGGACGAGAACTCACAGCCTGCTTCAGTCCTTTGGTCCTTTACCCCTCGGCTGAGGGGTCAGTGAGGACCACCTGAAGATAGCCTGCTGAACATTCTGAGCACTGGAGGTGGCCACAGTGGCTTGAGGAGTTCCTTGCCTCAGGAGAGCATGAGGTGTTCATTCACACCAGAGCACCCTCCCCCTCCCTGGGCCTACCGGAGAATACATCAGGTGCAGTGAGGAAAAGGAGGAGTGTGGGGGAAACGAATAAGAAGTAAACAGAGACTTGGGGGAATGACAACACATGACCAAAGGAAAACTCTTCCCTTTGTCTCAAGGGCCTTCTAACAAAATCAAGCCTAAGTAGCTCCTCCAATAGATCAGGCAACATCGCCATCTGGTGGTCAATGAGGGCATACGCTTTAGGAAGGAACTGAAATGTTGGGCTAACCCAGTGACCAGCTTCCAATGCAATATCCACCACTCCTCCCTCCATCCGGGTTGTAGTTGGTACTTGGCACAAAGGGTCACCTGTTGAGGCAGATCGGCCCCAGCAGGAAGCGCACTGCCTGTGAACTCCAGGCTGAGTGGATACCCTTTGCTCAGCATTAGTTGACAGGGCCTAGAAAGTTTGGGCCGAACAGCAACATGGGAGCCATACCTGCTAATCCACGTGGGGGAAGGTGGGGTCCTTCAAGCTACAGGACTTCACAGAGGAGATGGCTTTTCAAGGCTCTGGTGGAGAAGCCTCACAGCCAGCTCCGTTTATAGCCGGCAGTCACCTGCCCCTCCAGGGACGGGGACAGGGCCCTATGGGCAGGGCCTCTTACCTATTGCTGCCTATACGTGACACTCTCTTCCCAGACTAACCTAGTCATCTGCCTCATAAGAGCTTCTCAGTCAAAAAAAGCCAAGGTTTGCTGCTCAGAGGAGCCAGATGAGCAGGGAGGGTGCTTTAAAAAATGGGCTAAGTAATCATGGGGGCTGTTATCTTTCTTATTGATCAAGGTCCAGCCATTTGCCAAGGTATATACACATTTTATTTTAAAAAGTTTACATTTTTCATTATACACAACTATTAAGAGGTTATAGTCAGAGGAGGCATTTGTCCTGTTGACAGAAGTGCCCATTAGATCATCACAATGCAAGGAAAAAAGTAGAAGGGAGGAGTAGGGCAAGGAAAAAATAAGTGATAAAAAGCTTAGATTTCAATTAAGGGCTGGTAAGTCCCTTTTATCTCTTCAAGTATCACACAATATGTACCAAATACAATCAGTAAATAACGGCCATTTCTTCCCAAGCCCACAGCCAAGACGAGTATTTGCTGAATTAAAAGTCCTGGCCCTTCCTCAGGTAAGTGGAGAACCCGCACACCTGAGGGCTGTTAACTCCCCGTTCCCCAAGGGGCATCCACTCTGTCCAATCCCTAAGGTGTTCAGTGGCCAGAGAAAATATGAACACGGATTCAGAAGTCCAAAGAAACACAGGGTTTTGCACCTAATCAGAAATGATTTGATTTCAGTCAACAAGGCTGTGAACCCAGTTAGGAAGTTGATGAAATAACTCTTGCTAACTTTTGTTAATGGCTTTCACCTTCTAATTGAATCCCTAGAAGACAGAAGGGCCACATACCATTTGAAATCAAACACTAGTTCCCAGAAACTTGGCATCTAGAAACGTCATCCATGGAGGCTAGCGGAGGATCTGCCTTGCATGATTCTCAGCCATCCCAACAGGAGGCCTAATAAAAAGCTAGTGTCAGGCCAAGGCCAACAAGGGCTTCAGGGAGCCTTCTGAGGGAAAAAATTCCTTCAAGGGGAGACACTCCTCAGGAGCTTAGATCAGCCAGTTGGCAATTAGAACATCTTTTAAAGTGGAAGAAAAATGTCAGGTACTGGAGAGATGTATGGCAATTTCTGAACCTTATCTCACTAGTAGAAAATGCTGGTTGAAACTGCACAGTAACCTCAAGGAGTGCGATGAGACTGAAGACAAAAGAGCAAAACTGCCAGTGTCTAGGTAGGCTACCACCAAACGCAACCCACGAGGCCCCAGTGCTGGGCTGACGGAGAGCAGCGGGGTCACAGGCTGTGCCGTGGCCATCTTGCTTGTTGGTGCCTGACAGGGCCTAGAACAGCCTGCCCTGGTAAACCACAAGGTAGGATTCCAAAAACTATGGATACTAAGAAGGGAAGGGAAGCTGCCAGAAGCAGCTCTGACCTACCACCACCATTAAAACCAATCATGTTCAGCCTTTCTGAGTGCTATGAAGGGACAGCCTGGAGAAGCGTTTGCTGTTGAGACACCCCCTGCTCCAGCCTCACTCTACCATCTATTATTGGGGCCCAGAGTCTTCAGACTCACAGCCAGGCTTCTTCCAGCTCCCTCTGTACCTGTAACTATGCTCTCCTACTCCTAGCTCTTTCCAAGGTACAGGGAAGGGACAAAAAGTTAGCGTTAGAAGGAATTCTGTTCAACTTATCAAAAGTCAATTTCCCAGTGGAGACGAAAAGCCCCCCACAGAGCCAAAAACACGCATGGGACCAAGGTTAGTGCCCAGAAAGGATAGACTTGCAGAGAATGAGAGGGTACAGCACGACTTGAGTAGCAATTTCAGGAGCTTCCAGTGCTAATAGAATTGAAGCCTAAATTACATCTTAATCACACTTTCATCACACAGACTTGGATGGACATGCGCACACACGCACGCACACACACACACACACTGCAGCCATACTCAGATCTGCTTCTTAACGCCTACAACCTCCCCCAATAAGTCTTCATTCAAGAAGTCTGCACCACCAGATTTCTAGCGCTGGAGCTCTCAATTGGAGGCAAGCTGATAACTTTTCCTTAGAGAAACATAGATTTAGTCGGGGAGCAGGGCTGTGGCACTGCTCACATAACTTCCCTAAACTTGGTTCTACTAGTTGTTTTGAAAAGATTAAAAGCAATTATTACTGGACATTATTTTTTTGAAAGGTAATTAGAACACTATTGTTTATACAATATTGAAAAAATACAATTTTTTATTGTTTGAACTCAAATCACCACCCAGCACTTTAAGCCTACCCTAAATCGCACCTACAACAGTTATAGCACAAGCAAACTGCTAGTTCAGCAGGTAAGCAGGTTAGACAGTGCCAGCACAGCCCCTCCCTCCCCCAGAGTAATGAGAAGACAACGTGCTAGATAAGAGTTAAAGTACACCAGTACATGTTAAATAGTTAACACTACCCTTCCAACAAGCCACAAATGCTAGATAGATAACTCAGTACGGTTAACTAACCACAGCCCTACATAACAGCACTTTTAAATTTTTTTTAAAGAAACCCTTTTGCTTCATGCCCGTAATTAACATAAAATAAGTAAGTTCTTTGTCTTTTTATTTAGGAAAATAATCATGCTAAAAGCAAGTTGTATTTTATATAGATTTTCAAAGAAAAGATTGATTGTGCTTTTTGAATAAAAAAAGATAGGATATCTTCCAACCTCACTGACTCAAATCTTGTGAAATATAGCACTTTTAAACTAAAAACATACATCAGAAAGAAAAATTAAATTATCCCAGTGGGACATTCAAAATTGTCTTTAGAAGGTTTTAGGATTGGCTAATTCTGCTATTGTCCTATTGGTTGTGGCAAAAACAGAATACAGAGTTGCTGTCTGAAGTTCTCCACGTTCAGCAGGCAACACTCAGATTTGAAAGGAACTCTGCCGGCAACCTGGACATATGGTTAGCTGAGTACACATTTGATTAGCAGGCATTTTAAACTGTCTGATTTCCTCTTAACTTATACAAGAGAGAAAATTTTCTTCTTTCCAAACCTGTTCTACTACATCATATTTCTGAATCCTTTCCTCCTATTCAGCCACACTCTGAAAACAGCGGTTTGTTTTTCTCATGTAGAGCCACTTTGGGTACAAGAACCTTTATTTGTTCCAAATATTACTCATTTTAAATTTAGAATATGTGTTGGGTCTAAAATACCCATTTCCCACTCCCACAAGATGATGATGACCAGGCTGCTGCCAAGAGCAGCAGCAGACAGGAGAACAAAACCAAAACATGAATGAGAGTACCCAGGAGTCCCAGCCGCCAGACGGGTCTTCTTCCCGAGGCTAACGGTCCACTGAGCGGCTGTCCGAGGCGGCGGCCATCTCTTGGTAGGTGAAGATTAAATCTGCAACCTGTCTAAGCACAATTCACACACACGCCGAAAAAAAAAGAAAAAAAACCTCAAAACAAAACCACCTTCAAATTTAAAGCTCTTCGTCCAGGGTAGCGGTCTCAAAGTGGCCAACAACAGGATGAGGATGTGACTCTGCACGTGCTGGATGAGAGGAAACATCTTCCCAGTCACTGTTCTCCTGTCCTGTCCTCTCAAAAAAGGTCTGGATTACAAGCTCTACCCAAGAAAAAGAATCAGGTTCAGAAAACTTTCAAAAGGTTCTCTAAAGCAAACACTTGTGGCTGCAGGGCCTCATAGCAAGAAGGGCAGGAATCTACATATAAAAATGTACTTAAAATCTGAGTCCAAAAAATTGGTTTAAGTTTCAATACTCCAATTAGCTCCCTGCTTTATACTGTTACTCCACAGAAATGGGGCCACCTAGGATTCAGAGGAAGGAGCAGCTCTGATTCTGACGGGGCTGGCTCTAAATACTCCCACAGCAGGGCTTTTCCTCCCCATTTTTTTCGTTTCCATTTAGAAAAAGCACTATTCTATCTTCATGTCCAAGAACTGGTTGGTTTGGTTTGTTTCTTTGGAACCATCAATAAAAGAAGCAACTTTTTCTTGTTATTTTTACTCACGTCTATCTATCAGAGCGGCTATTTCTTTCAACAGTTCAGTAGCATACAGGCTGACTTGGCCAAATGGACTTATGAATGCATGCATTCAGACCGCATATTGCTACCAAAATGGAATGTGGGAATATGCTATGCACCTCAGGTTGAGAAATGACCAAGAAATCAAGATCTAAAGGGTGATATATAATATATATATATCAATGCTATTATTCATAAAAACCTTGTTTAGTAATAAAAAAAATTGCTTTGTTTAAATATGAATATTATAGTCTGCTTCTCATGGTTAGGAAATAATAGTCTTTCTGAAAAGCAGATGCTTCTTCTACTACAACTCCATATCCTGGGCCTCATCTTCCGAAAAGTCAGACATAGAACTCTCCGACGAGCTATCACCGGTGCCCTCTTCCTGCTCTTTCAGCGCCTCCTCCGTTGCATATTTCTGGATGTACTCTGCACAGGGGGTGGGGATAAAGAAAACACAAGGGCAGTGAGCAGGCAGGCATGTGCTTCAGCGACCCCCAAGCTGGCAAGTCCCAGGGAGGTTCGAGCCTTCCTTACATGACAGGGGGTAACAAAGATGATAGTTATGGTCTCTAAAGCTAAGGGGAAAATCCCACAGGGAGATGTCTTTGGAGTTTGTGCATTTTGCCCCCTTAGTAAGAGAGGCAAAGCAGAACACTTGATTTGCAGGGGAATAAATACACTGCATCACTATCCTAGGAACTCCCTTGGGCCATCACCTCCCAGGTGGATGAACACCCCCGAGGTGGAAGTGTACCACCCCAGTAGCTGATCACCCTGGGCCTCAGCTGCACGCCATGGGAAAGCCGGCAGATGTCCAGGATAATGCCTGGTGTTAAATGGCCTCCATTCTCCAGCCAGAGCGCCCTCCAACTCTTTCCTTGTTGGCTTACCAATATGGCGCACTCCTCCAAACTTGATGGACTGGGGAAACGTGAACCCCATACTTTCTATGCTAATAAAACCATTCACCTCCCAGATAGAACAGGACTAGTTATGGTTCCGTAGTAATTTACAAGGAAATCCCCCATCATTTTTAGATCTGCAGTTATATAATTACAGTCAGCCCAAATCTATTATTTTGGGAATAGATTTTAGCCTAAACAGAGCCTGCCTGTCAGGTTTTTGAGCAGCTGGTAAAAACAGTCTCCTAATCTGCTCTGGAATGAGCTGCTATGTGGAGACACAGCTACCTTCTGAGCGACTTCACCATCTATTATCTACCTAAAGATTTATGCTACTATACCCTAGGCTGAACCTGCTGGCTGAAAAAAATTTTAAGAACTGCTGAATAAACAATTAAACTTGTTCCTAAAAACTCTTAAGTGCACACTGTTTTCAAGTAACTAGCCTACACACAATATGAAAAGACAAGAAAGAATCCTCATTCAGAATGCCAGTAGGAGAAAAACATCTCCTCGTGTCCTGATGCCTTGTTTTTCCCCCTATAGAGCTGTAGGGACTAAGTGCAAAAGGAAAATAAGGGAAATGGCTAAATGGGCCTGCCAAATTTGAATAACTTAGTGCAAGGGCCTAGTTAAAAATATTTATTATATTTTTAAAGGGTTGTTAAAAAAACAAAAAAGAAGAAGAAAGAAAGAAAAAGAATATGTGACAGAGACATGTGGCCAAATCTGGCTCTTTACAAAAAAGTTTGTAGACTTCTGACTTCAGAGTCCTTCAAATTCATTATAACAAAATTTTACACAGAGATAATGAGATTAAAAAGCCCCTGACGAGGTAGAAATTTACCTTAATTCACCTTTTAGAGTGAGAAATGTTTATTAAACCCTCTGAAATTTTATTTTTACTCTAATGGGCTGGCTACTTTGTTTCTTCCTTTGTATAAAGAAGTTGCTGCACTTTGACATTGTTCTTGGACGCTCTAATTTGCTAGTCTCAGCCTTAAGTATATTCAAGGAAACAAATATGTATTAAGTGCTTACTAGGACAAGGCCTTTCAGGAGAGAGAATAATGAAGAGCAAGGTCACTAATGTGCAGGAGAAACAGATAACGATAAAAGCAGTGAGCTGCTAAGCGCCATCAGAGGAAGCATGGAGGAATGGACTGCGGCCCTTAGAGCCAGGAAGGCGATCACATCTGCACTGACCCTTGCAGGAGTCCTGTCGGCTGCAGCACAGGAGGCGCCATGCCAGGGGAAAAGCATAGCCTCCCCAAAAGCACAGGGAGAGGAGAAGTGGTTGGGATGTTAAGATACAACATTAAGAGAGAACTACATTTGTTTCCTTTCTGTAAAAAAATTTGAAGCAAATAAGGCAAAACGTTTTGCTATACAGTCATGTGTCGCTATACAGTCATGTGTCGCTTAACAACGGGGATACGTTCTGAGAAATGTGTCATGAAGTGATCCCGTGGTTGTGTGAATGTCATAGAGTGTACTTACACACACCTAGATGGTATAGCCTACTATACACCTAGGCTATATGGTAAGAATGTGGTCCGTCGTTGTCTGAAATGTTGTCATGTGGCGCATGACTGTAGTTGGATGGCGGACACACGGTTGTTAAGTTATTCTCTGTTTTTCTGTAGGGTTGAAACTTTCCATGACTAACTAAGGAAGCAAAGAGACGGGTATCTGAAACTCATCCAATTTGATTGTCACATATTGATACATTTAGAGGAGTAAAGGCAAAGACGTAGATCACTCACAGTTACAGAGAGTCCTGAATGGCAGGCTAAGAGGCCACTCAGTGAAGGTTTTTGAGCAGGAAGTGACATATCTTTAGAAAGCTCCAAGGTGCCCCGCCCTACAAGCAGTCCAATATTTATGAGATAAAACAGCATCAATTAAATATGAATGCTGACCAATGTTCATGGTAAGAAAGGGTACCTACACTGACCTGTGATGTTAGGCGTGGAAATGTCCAGGAGGCAGCTGGGGAGAGAGGTCACGCCTAGACAAACATTTTTGGAAATCATCTACCTGGACGGGATCATCTCAAGCTGTGAGGGGTGAATAAGCTCCCCACAGGGTGGGGGAGAGGAAGACAGGTAGTTGAAGATGGAATCTTAAGAGAATGACCACGTTTAGAAATTGGAATGAGAAGAGTTTTCACAAAGGTAAGGGGTAAAATACCAAAGCTGCAGAGAGGTCCAGGAAAATGGATCTTGAGAAGGGTCCACATGATTAGGAAGAAATGAGATTACAGATTCAGTAGAGGAGGGGGAACAAACCAGACCTCAGGAGTTTAAGGCAAGGAAGCGAGACGTTTGAAAATGAAAGGAAATACAGAGCAAGACTCCTAAAGGAGGCCACAGGACTTCTGAAATGGCCCCCTAATAGTCTGCAGGTGGAGGGGGAGGACCAACAGTGCCAGGATGAAGGGCATAAATGGGAGAATAAGATCACAGGTTGGTGGGGGTAGTGAGTCTGAGAAATAAGACAGGACATCTCTTATTCCCATAGGGGGAACAAAGAAAAGATGGGGGGAATAAATACATATAAAAGGTACAGTAGGAAGTTGGGGTGAGCTCAGGTCTGATAGCCATGATTTTCTCAGATTACTAAGGAAGACAAAATGACAGCCAACATTAACATTTCAGAAAGCTAGAGCTAGCCAGTCTAAGATAAAAATGTAGGTTGGGTTCTTTTTGTAATTGTTGCTATAGCAGATAGGTACTAAACAGGAATAGTGTTAAATTGCTGAGGCATAATGACTATAACAACTATAGAAATATGCTGTGCACCGAGATATCTGTGGGTTGCAGACACTGTTAAGTGATTCCTATGTCAAAACTTGAATACAGTCTCATAGAAGAATTTTATGTGGTTGAAACTGCCTTTTTCTTGAAATACACGTTTGTTTGGCTATGTAGATATTGTGCTACCTAAATTAGATATGAATTTGCAAAGCACCTGAGACCTAAGTAAATTAATTAGAGTCGATTTATTTCTACTTTATCTCAACAAAAGTACCAAACAATACTCTAGAGAAACGTGGGAAGAATGAGAAAACAGAAGGAAAACCATTGCTCAACAAACAGCCCCAAATGCTCCCATTTGTCTCATACTGGCACTGTTAAAAGTGAAGACCTATATATTCAAGCTCTCATAAATTATTTCTACCCTCATCTCTTGCAAATGTACCTCAGAGGGGCCACACATTTTGCAGAAGTTGATGTTTTCAATTGCTATGCAGATGGGCAAGTCATGCTAAAAATTGGGCAGATACCAACGCCTGCCACTGTTAAGAGCAGGCCCATTTTTACAGACTGAATTCCTTTCCTTTTTGGTAGAACTTTATGTATCTAGACTTTTCACTATGACAGTTCTCAAACACATATAGAGATAAAAAGGACAATATGATGAACATTGGTAAACCTGTGTGGAGCTTTAGATGTTCTTTTATAACTATATTTTCATTTTTATGAAATTCACATCCCATTAGCATGTAAACTGTTTAAGAATAGGAAAATAGGGTTCTAAATCTTAAGGGATGAGCAAACTACCACCACTACTAGCACATTTCTAACTTGAACAGCACATTTCAAGTTTTAATAGAAAAGTCCCACAGCACCAGGGTACTGGGGCCGGGTATCTGCAGTAGAGGAGAAATGCGCCCAGATGTAAACTTCCCAAAGTAAAAGCAAATCAGTATGGGACCAAGAAAAGAAGCCCATTGGTTATTTTTTTTTTTCCTGAGGAAGATCAGCCCTGTGCTAACATCTGCCCATCTTCCTTTTTTTTTTTTTTTTTTTTGGCTGAGGAAGACTAGCCCTGGGCTAACATCTGTGCCCATCTTCCTCCACTTTATATGGGACGACGCCACAGCGTGGCCTGCCAAGCAGTGCATCGGTGTGCGCCCGGGATCCAAACCGGCGAACCCCGGGCCACCACAGCGGAGCACGTGCACTTAACCACTTGCGCCACTGGGCCGGCCCCCAGTTGGGTATTTTTAATTCAACAGGTGAAAGGATATAATTTTTTAAAAAGTCTCAAGATGAATTAGGCATTTCCCAGCTCCCGAAGCTGCTTTCCTGAAAGGCCAGGATGATATTGTCTGTGAACAAATGTGAGATTATGCTTTTCAATTAATACTTGACTCTCAAGTCCAATTTTCTAATTTTACAAGAGGAAGCAAATGAAGGCAAAGGTTTTTTGTGTCCACAGGGATTTCTGGCAGAGTTACATCTACTACCATCCAACAGGTGAGCCTGCCACTTTCTCATCTTTCCCTTCGCTCTTTCTCTCTCCTTCTCTTCTTCCTTGCTGGTACCTCCAGTCTTCAACGGTGTCTCTGACCCTCGGAACTACAGAGGCTAGTGAGCTCTGCTCCAGCCCACAGCTGTCTCTTTTTAGGCCTGAGAAAAATGATTAGAAGGGCTTTTAATTATCAAAGCCCAATAGACTTAAAGTTCTTCTGTCTCCAGGTTAAACTATTTGCCTTCTTACCTTTAATTTTCTGCTTGTATTCTTCTGGTCGGTGGAGGTACATGGCTGCAGCGTCACCATTGAGAGGATCTATGGGGTTAGGATAGGCCAACAACTGGGGCAGGAAGGACTCAAATATATTGGTAAGATCTGAAAAAATAAACAGAAATACATCATTAATGGAACAAGCAAGTTCACCTAAAATTCATTTGAATTCAGTAGTCAAAACTGCTTACCTTCCTAGATATTTAATCATATGGATGTTTTTCCATATAACTGTGCTCCATTACATGTGATCTATATTATATATTCCTTTCAATACCAATTTTTAAATTTAATTTTAATTTGAAGAACCAGATAAAGGTATATCTGATATTCACTTTGAAAGGCAATTGTCCCAATTCTAATTCACTTCATTTTTCTAAACCAATAATTTAGAAATATTACATACATTGTTTATTAATTAAAACTTGTGTCCCAATACTCTACAGCACTCTACATTCCAACAAAATGAGTGGTTAATCTCTTAATATCACCATTTTCTACAGCTTTGAAAACCCCCACCCTGAAAAGTATTCAAGCGCCAGATTTTAAAAGAACTGAACACAATTTTATAGGCCTTGACATTTAATTCAATTCTCCTAACTTCTAATGAAGGTAAATATAACCAGTTTTTCAATTATTCTGGGTAAGGAGGATAGGAATCTATATGGACCACTTAAAATTATAAATAATCATAAAACAGATAAATACCAACCTACTATATTTATTAACTCCCTTCTTGCCAGATTCAGAACAAGGTGCTGGGTGTACACAGATGACATCTACACACAGTTCAACAAAAACAACAAAAACCCTGTAGCCACATAGTGTTTTATAAAGGATATAGGCCTTGAAAACCTGTAAAATAAACCACACATCCTCATAAATTCAGAGACGCTCTCCCATTCTATGTGCTTCTCAGTTAGCAGACATAACTGTAGAACCTTAACGCCTCCATTTCTCTGCCCTATTCTAGTTACTCTACCATGTTTTATAGAAAACATTTGTTTCTGGAGGGAAGGCTAAAATATAATAGCATAAAAACTACTCTTTAATTTATTCTGCTCTTTTAATGGACTCTTTTTTTGTTTTTCACAGTGAGCACTCTTATCCAGTATTATAAATGAATGTTTTGTTAAGCCACATCACTTTAGATTAGTGGTGCTCAGCCAGGGGTGATTTTGCTGCCCACCACTTGACAATGTCTGGAGAAATTTTGGGTTGTCACAACCAGGTGGGGGAGTGGGGGCAGGTGGTGCTACCAGCATCTCGTGGATAGAGGCCAGGGAAGATGCTAAACATCCTACAATGCACAGGATAGCCTTTCACAACAAAGAATTATCTGGGCCAAAATGTCAATAGTGCTGAGGTTGAGAAACCCTGGCCTAGACAAAAGGGGTTAGCAAACTTTTTCGTAACGGGCCAGAGTAAGTACTTTAGGCTTTGTGGGCCACGTTCAGTCTCTGTTGTAACTACTCAGCTCTGCCACTGTAGCACAAAAGCAGCCATAGACACTGGGTAAACAAATGGGTGTGGCTGTGTTCCAATAAAACTTTATATACAAATACAGGCAGCCAAAGTTTGCCAACCGCTACTCTAGAAAACCCTACAAATAAGAGGAGGCTTTTCCTTGTCACTGTAAGGTTAAGAAAGTGAGCAGTCAGAGAATGAGCTAGAGCTGCACTATTTTTTTTTTTAATTTTTTGTTTATTGCAGTAACATTGGTTTATGACATTGTAAAAATTTCAGGTGTACATCATTGTACTTCTATTTCTGCATAGATTACATCATGTTCAAGAGCTGCACTATTCAATAGAACTTTCTGCAATTATGAAAATGTTCTGTATCTGCACTGTCAAATGTGGTAGCCACATGTGGCTACTGAACACATGAAATATGCCTGGTATGACTGAGAAACTGAATTTTTAATTTTGTTTAATTCTAATTAATTTAAATTTAAATAACCACACATGGCTAGTAGATCCCATATTGAACAGCTCAGGTCTAGAGTGATGTAATGGAGAGTCCTATGACAGCTAGCACAGTCATGTCCTCATGCACAGATGTTGATGCAGAGCACGTTTACCTCTAACCCCAAGTTATGGACTTGGTATTATTACACAGACTGAGGCTATTTCACCTTCATAAAGCTAACTTCCCAAAGAACCACATTATAATAAGATTCCCATGTACCAGGAGACAAATACAGAGATTCCTAATCAATAGAGCAAAACAAAAATAATCTTCCAAGATAACCCCCAACCATCTGCAGTAAGATTTTTACTGCTGTTTTTCTTATAATTTTTTAAAAAAGGAAGCAACATATTCAACAAACCAATAATTATTCATGGTACAAAACCACTGAAAACTATTTGCAAAGGCTAAGGGACAGAGAAAAATGCTTATGCTCCAATGCCAGGTGGAGAAAGTCCATTAAATGGTATGTTCTCTAGAATTACAACTATGTACAGTATGTATACCTAAGAACAATATTTAAAAAGTTATGTCAAGGCAATAGGCTTGTAATTTCTACTTTTCACACTTCAAATGACACTATTTTTTTTACCTTTAAAAATGGAATTTTCCTATAAATATGTCCTTTCTACTTCTGCATATGTTTGAAATATTCAATAAAACATGAAAAGTTTCAAAAAATTTTTCTTTTCCTCTCTTTATCCTTAGGTGGGTGGGTTATTAAGGCAGTGGTAGGAAATGCCAAAAGATAAGCAAATTAAGAAGAAAAAACAAGGAGTGCGGAAGTTTTACAAATTGAACATGATCCTAGAGCAGGGAAGAGTTAATAAGAGTTACATGAACACTAGTAACAGTAACAGGAATGGCAGCAGCAAGTTCACACTCACATAGCACCTACTACAAGCCAGGCACTAGTAAACACTTTACATAAACACTCTTACTTTCACTATAGCCAGTGAGGTAGGTACCATAACTATCTCCATTTTGCATATGGGGAAACTGAGGCACAGAGAGGTCAGAGGCTAAGTAACCTGACCAAAGGGCCAGGTTTCAAACCTGGGCTTACCCTATGCTGCCTCCCTTAATGGCTAAAATGAACACTGTCTCAACCTTCTTGATGGCACAAGCTCCCCGCACCTTGGTGTCAAAATTGCATACCCTCAGAAATGGCCACCCCCCTCTCAAAGTTTTCCTTTCTCACAAGTCCAAGGCCAGCAGGATGATCTCTAAGCAGAGAATGGTCAGAAGTTTCTGCAGCTGAACTGTCTGATATTTCACAGAGGCAGTGTGCTTGTTTTCAAGTAGCCCAACCACAGGAAGTAGCCCACAGCTGTTCACAGATACCGGTGCACAGTGAGCTGGGCCAGGCTTCTCCTGCCATGTCATCATTACAGGCGCTGCTCAAAAAGATTAGCAGCAGAATGTTGCTATCAAACAACAAAAACCTTAAAAAAATAAAGTACAGGTTTTATTCTCTTTAAGTATTGTTCAGAAGTGCTTCAGGACTCGAGAAATATTGCAGACAACATGGTGAATATTTCATAACTAGGTGTTTCATGTGTTCCAGGAAGAAATTTTTAAACCCTTCCCCACTACTTTTAAGTTTTTTAAGCTACCAATAAGTGCCTCTGCCTAGGTATTTGTTCCAAACAAATACAAGAACCCTCAATTACTGGTTCTTCCTTCCTGTGTCTACTGTCTTCCTGCATTAACATACTTTTGATCCATTTTACAGATGTGCTGAGTCACACCCATAAAACAGAAGAGCAGAAAAGGAAAAGTACACAGCCCAGTTTCAGGTGAAGATGACAGCTTCTGAAAGCCAGGATGTTGTGGCTATGGCCATTTTAAAGGAGTACAGCATTCCTGAAGGTGGCTAACAGAGTGATTACTCCTGAGAGGGTCCTCCCCAAAAGAACATCTCTCAAACGTGCAGATGTGTACAAAATCTTCTTTCAAGATAAATGTTGGCAGAACGGACCTAAGCTATAAACCAAGAATGAAACAAAGATACTCATTCTTTGGAAAAATCCATCATAATGAACATTTTTTCCTAAAATAGTAAAAACATTTATCAGTTCAAAAGTCTTTTTTAAAAAACATTAACCTTCCACTTTTTGAAAGGGAGAGAGCCAGATACAGGTCACCCAATCTAGCGATTACAGTCAGCTGGCTCCATTACTGGCTGCCTTAATTTTTAAGGGAAGTCCCAGGATCCCTGAGAAGGGTTTATGATGAGCAAACAGTTCTTACTTTTGCTTTGGACTATATCAGCACTTACCAAAATGCAGTTCATAAGGACTGATTCTTCAGCTTTATCTTAGAGTATTAATGTTAACAATATTACAACCCTCGTACCTCAGTTTAGGCACATAAACTAATGATTTATATTCATATTTAATTTTTAAAAACACTCAAATCATACTCATCTCTCATCAAAAGTAGCATCGTTTGGGGCTGGCCCCGTGGCCTAGTGGTTAAGTTCACGTGCTCCGCTTTGGCGGCCTGGGGTTTGCAGGTTTGGATCCTGGGTGCGGACCTAAGCACTGCTTATCAAGCCATGCTGTGGCAGGTGTCCCACATATAAAGTGCAGGAAGATGGGCACGGATGTTAGCCCAGGGCCAATCTTCCTCAGCAAAAAGGAGAATTGGCAACAGATGTTAGCTCAGGGCTAATCTCTCTCACAAAAGAGTGGCACCATTTACCCCCACTCAGTCTAGAGCAATGGTTCCTGGACAATTCTAGGTCCTGGGTGTTTCTCCAGCAGAATTACCCATGGGGCTTTTGCAAAATATGCATGCTGAGGCCTCATACATACCCCAGGGATTCTGATTTAGGATTGGCCAGCGTGTGTGTGTGTGTAGAAATGCACAGCCAGGAAACACTACCTACCCTATGCACCCCCTATCCCCAGAGACCAAATGGGAAGAGGGCTAATTTGCTTGTGGATTCTTTGGTTCAAGGTCTTGGCAGCTAAGCTGAAGAGGTCTAGTTTGGTGGCCCTCCCTGAACCTCTCATCGTTCTTTTCTGCTCACTGTGGTCACCATCACTTCCTCCAGGTAGAAGAATTCCAAACTGTAGGCAGGAAAAAGTGGATCCATTTTAGAGGGACATTCAAGGGCTGCTTTAGAG